ATTCATTTTAAACATGAATGCCTAGATATTTATAACTCTTCAACTATTCTAATTGTAGGTCCTTGTAATAGAAGAAGAACTTGGATCTAGTGTACACTATCATGATTTTAGACTTCTCCATGTATATTTCCATCTGATTCTGGATACAAAGCTAGCCAAAGTGTATAGGTGTTTTTGTAAACTAATTGCATCAAGTGCTAGTAATATGATATCATCTGCATATAGGAGAGCTTTGATAACAAAGTTTTCAAGCTTGACACCTTCACTATCACATGCCTCCAACTCAATATAATCTTTTAAAATCTCAAATAGATTAATAGCTAGAGAACAACCTTGAATCACTCAAATGGTACTCAAAACCTCTTCAATTTGAGAAGTGTTGATCTCGGCTCGAATAAAATGGTATAAGGTGGCCACAGCTACGAGTGAAATTGGAGTTACTCCAATGGCTTGCAACCTTTTCCATAAAAAGTTTACAAAGTTTTGTGTGAAAAGCTTTTTAAAAATCAATGAAGTCGCAAAACAAGGCTTTTTCATTGATTTGACTTCTCCCATAAAACATCCAAGGCCAAAATATGGTCAATGTTGTTGTATGTTGGGCAAAACTTGCTTGAAACCGTGTTCTTTTTCAATAAGATTCAGTGCATGTGCTCAACTTTGATTCCATCAATTTGCTGAACAACTTGGCAAAAATACTACCCACCTGATAGTGTGATAGTTTGTCATCAAGTCCTTTCTTCCTGACTTATGAATAGTAACAATTTTTTGTAGAGATCAAGTTGAAAGAAAATCATACATGGCATCATTCTCTAACGCTTTAGTGAGTATTGGTCCAATGACATCTCCCCTCTATTTAAAAAGTTCAATAGAGAGATCATCCAAGTACTCTGATTTTTCATTTGCTAATTTTTTGACTTGAATGATCACCTCTGATTCCAAAAATAAGCCTGATATCACTTCACAACAAGGCATTGATGCAGCGTCAGGAAAAAATAAAGCTTTTGAGCAAAGGCAATCAAACTTTTGGAATCAAGCGTAGGTTTAAAAGACCGTACTGCTAACTGTCTCCAAAAAGATTTTGAAATTTCCATCAGCTCTTTTGTCAAGGATTATTACTTTGTACTCAAAAAAGCTTGTTCTTAGACTTCACCAAATCTTAGTAAAGCCTTGTCAAGATAATTGGACTTTGGAGATTCAAAGACTTGTCAACTGATCTCATCCTTGCTTGCTTGCAATCTAAATCAAAGCATCCATTGCAAGGAATATCCCTAGCTCTCTAATACTTGTGTCGCAAAAAAAAAACTTAGAAGATGTGTTTTTGAGCAACTTTGTTAGTTTGCTGTATATGGATCAAGTATTTATGAATTGTGGGTCAAAAGATTTTGAAAATGTAGCATGTAAATATCTTTCTTACTAGGATCTAAAGAAAACTTGGAGGTAGCTAAAACAAAATGACATTGAGGAGAGGTATTTTTTTGACATCAAGAGATTAAATAAGAGAGGTACATGATTTGATTCTGGCTTAGGTACATCAAATTTTGAGATTAGAGAGCTACTTGTGGCCGATGATAGAAGATAATCAATACTGCTAACACCAGTAGAAGAAAAATATGTATTGGAAGGGGAATTGGAAAGGAGAGGGATACTGTTGAGATATATATAATAAAACATACCTCATCATTTTGATTTATTTTCAATTGACAAATGGTTTTGTCGGTATTTTGCTAGATTTCAAAACCATATATAAAAAATTTCAATACCTTGAAATAAAGCAGAATATTTTGTGTAATTTTTAAAAAATATAAAAAACGTAATACTTCATATTTTATTAAATAATATAATGATGATTCAAATAATTTTAATTTCTTTTAAAGAAAAAAAATGTAATAAATTCGATGGAAAATTTGTATGCATTATGATGATTAATGTAATGATAAATAATAACCGAAATAAAGCATAATGGTAAAGATCCGATCTTGAGAGGACAAAAACAACACAAAGAACAAAGAAGTGTCACATATTAACAATCTATTGAAGAGTTTGAATTCTCAAGCATTTGTCACTTCTAGAAGTATTGCAATTGCTAAGTCCCAAGGGAGCACATTGCAGCGTAGATCACACTCAATTCCTAAAATTAATCCAATCAAGTACTACAGGGATCGATCGCGACTCCGTCTTGGTATTTAAGGGGGAAAATGTCCGAAGTATACATTTAGAGAGCTGCATAGAGCTTCCAATTACAGATTTGCTTAAATTATGAACTAGCCATACGTCATTCAGAACACCCGAATTGGAGCTTTTACCTCGGATGCGTATCTTCAACAAATCGAAGTATCTCTTGCACAGTGACAAACACTCAATTTACGGACACACTAAGAATGCAGACTAAAACTGAGAAAACTAACCACTGAGAATACTCCCCAGGCCAAAGCCATGGGCTCCTTTATTTCTAACTAACACTCCAAGATGTCATTCATTATGTCGCGAGCTACGAACAGGCGCAACACCAACACAACTAGAAGTTATCTCGCCCGCTAAATTCCTATCTTATCATAACCTACGCAAAACGGCTGTTAGTTTCTATTCCAGGTTCTCCTTTGTCTCAGCCAAATTGGAAAGAAATGCATCTAACTTCCTAGCTAACGGTCGCTGCCCATCTACACTACAAGCAAGTATCGTCGTCACTCAACACTCCAAATCTCGCAGCTGCAGCCATTTCTGTGTCTCGATCTGCCATATCACAAAACCGCACAGACATCGATTCTCCTTATCAATTAAGGCGTTGTTCGTCTGTTCCGCTAACAGCATATTGCTCTCCTTCACTTCCAGCAGTTTCGCTTCCATCTCGCCCAAGTGCTGTTCTGCCGCCAATCGGTACAATCACATCTCATTGCAGTTGGCTTCTAACTTATCCAGCAATTCCAGCTCCTAAGACCGAGCAGCCTCACACTCTGCCAGTTCCTTCCTCATTGCTGCCAATTTTACTACGTGCGCCTGATCTCTCTTCGCCAGATCCGCAATCAATTTGTCAACTCGACGCGAATACTCATTGAAGATCACTCTATACGCCTCCAGTCTATCTCAAAGGTCGACTGTCGCTCGCCTGGTAATCTCAATTTCAGTCCAAAGATTCTCAAAGGCCTTCTCTGAAGACTTCCGAAGTTCTGTCTCCTATGCTAATCTTTTCTGAAGAGTCACACGCTTCGCCTCCGACTTCTAAAGTCGCTTTTCCTTCTTCTCAAACGAAGTCTTTGCCGCTGCACGATCTGCCGTCAAGCTCTCCACTTGTTCCGCTGTTACTGTGGCTACACTCACCTTCACCTGCATCCTGTTACGCACTAGCTCCACGTAAGATCCGACATTGGATGGCCCAGCATACTTCTTCAACTTACCATCTAGATATCGGAGTAAAGGAACCACTTGCTTGCATAGCACGTCTGCTCCATTGATCCCTCCTGATTGAGTTTTCTCCGCCGAAGGATCTTCTCTGGTCTCAAAGATGACAATCCATGTGGACATCCGAGGTGACACCGCCGGCTGCTAATCTGTAGCATTTCTCGTTACGCCTTCTACTACTCTGTCTACCAACTCCTCCAGCAAAGTTGGGTACTCCTCTGTGTTTGATGACACCGTCAGTACTTCTAAGCTCTTTTTTTTCAAAGGAGTGTAGACCATAGCTTCAGCCGAAGGTCCCGGATTCCGCTTTAGGGTTTCTTCCTCCTTATTTATCTTCTTCTCTTCAGCTTCCTTCGGTGCGTCGCCCGCCAACGTTGCTAAAGGTCTCCACTCTGAAGGCCGAAGGCCTCTCTTTCAATGTCCTTCCTACTCCGTCGCGACAACATTTGCTTCCAATTTTGACCACTCTACCAAAGTGAGACGGCCTTGCGATGCAACGACACTTCTTTCGGTGCTCATGTCATCCGCTATTATAAGCCTTAGCGCTTCCATCTTTGTACGACCTTGCACGAAGGCAGTCTTGAGTTAGGTGGGGACCGTCCTTCAGACACGCATTCCGACACATTGATCAAGCGTCTCCGAAATCGCGACACCATGCAGCTTTCTTTTCTTCTGCGGCCGTTCTTCCGCTTTGTCTCTTTTTCCGTCTGCCCTTTCCTAAGGCAATGCAAGTTGAATATCTCCTTGGTCGGTATCGACCTTGTTGGCACCGAGGGTCTCATCTCCATCTTCCTAATGTGTCTAGAGCGGGAACTTCTTCTCCTCTGCTACGGTCAATAATCTCATCCCTTTGTAGAAATTAACAAGGAAAGGAGAGAAGTAATTTGCCGACCCTCCCGGAACATAACCAATGTGTTGGCGTGTGACCGTCCACAAGATTCTAGCCCAGTGAATACGTTCTCCTCGTAGAGCTCATTCTACAAATCCGACTTGTCAAGTCTTCATGTAGGTTGTTCAAGACGGTCGAAGTATCAGCATCAATGTGACTGCCAAATTCCTTCGTGGACAATTGTGGAACATGTGGTCCGGAACCCATACTTGCCAGTGCGTGGTTTTTTGAACAGCGCCGCGTTCGTCTTCTCCTCTGCGCGTGTTATTTTGACACTCATTGTCAAAGGTGAGATCGTCATCTTCTAATGCGCACCGTCCCAAGACTCTCGGCCAATCCCAAATTTGCCATTGTCCGGGATTGCCTCGATGTATATCAGTTTGCAGAGCGTTCGCGTCAGCACATTCGTGAACCATTGCCGCGCAAACCCAGTTCCATCTTCACGGCAGGAAATTGAGCTTCGCTACGATCTGCTCGTTGCGATAGGCCCGCAATTCCACCTAAGTCAACTTCAGCGCGGTCAATCAAATTCCTCCGAGACGTCCCATAGTTGTTTCTACAAATTCAAACTTCAGCACCTCGATCGTCTCTCAATTCGCAACTGTGGTGTGCAAAATGTGGGAGACAAACTTGTGCTATCGCTGGTGTAGTCCGCCGCCGCAACGATAGTGTCAATTTGTGCGAATAAAAGGTGACGCCATACTATAGGAAGGTCCTAGAGGGTCACCTCCGACAGGCCCATCAGACTATGTTGTCTAGCAAGCTCTTGAAATCCGGAGGCTTGACTCTGGCGCGCCAAAGAACTATCGACGCATTGGAAGAGACGCTGAACCAGATCAAGAAGGAAGCGCAGCGAGGCTCGGAGGGCCGAAGGCCGGAGTGCTTTCCGACTCTATCCCGCGAACAGCCAACAAAAAAAGAAATATATTTTTGTTCCCTCTGGTCTCGTGCTACGCACCTACAATCAAGATGTTTTTTATGTTCCGATCATCCTTATGTATATGCTCAATGGCGCTTTTTTTCCCTTGCGGCTCCATCTTTTACTTCACTGGAGATACGTCGTCAAAAGTTCTTCATAGGTAACTCCAAAGACTCTAACACTGAAGGCCGAATCCCCCCTGCCGTATATTGTACTAGGCCTTTTGGAAACCAAACTTTGTAACTATTTGTAACTCAGACTTTACTGGTTCATTCCTCACGTTCTTGACCTCATTGAAACCAGCAGACCAAGATCTATTTAGTGGGATCCTTCATATTCCCTACTCCTACTCACAGGTTGGGCTGAAATTCCTTATTCCCTCCTCTACTGAAAATTTACTTCTCAAACTACATTATTTCCAAAAAAATGAAATAACTACACTACCACAATTAAAAATAACATTGAGCCAAATATGTTTAACTTTGAACATATTACATATCTACTTTTAAAAATTGTAAATGCAAAAAACAAATCATATTTGTGTGATTCATATCCACAATATGTCACAAGCTTTTGCAAAATTATGTTTCATGTATATATGTTACTTTATCTCAAAGTTTCAAAATTTAATATATGACAAGATATAATCAATCATTAAAAAAATTACATTTAATATGAATTTAAATCAAAGATTTATAAAATTTTAAACAAAAGTTGTAAAATATATATATGTTTGAGATTTGACAATTTTCATGTAACTTTGATGCATTTCAACGAGATTGAAGCACAAACAACACATGTTAATAAATAAGTTGAAAAATATGGATTGTGATAATGAGAAATCACAAAAATCAGAAAGCACACACTGATTAGAGGTTAGAAGTATGTGATTCACTTCCTAATACTCTGTGTTAGAGTTTACAATCAAAATCATTGAGACAATGTTCAAGATGACTAGCTAGATGTTAGTAGTCAACACCACACAAAAGTGAAAATTAATTTGAGTCCATTGTCAATAGAATCAACAACACTTTTTTCAAAAATTAAACCTAATAATCTTAATTCATGTCCAGGGGACAATAGACTTCATAACCCATTTAATTACCTTGTGGAAAGTGCTAAAAAAACCTAACACAGGATATTTTTATAATTTAATTTAACTAGAATTAAGTTGTAGCCAAAACAAGATAGAATAAAAATATACAAAGGATAGTAAAATTGCTTTAAAATTCTTCTTGTGCTCCTCATGCCAAATTTGTATAGTTATATAATGTATTCGGAAACTTAAAAAATAAAATCTTTGATTAGCGCATTAGGTCGAGTAACTTCATTGTCAATCTTAATTAGTTCAATACTTTTAACAGATACAACATCTCTCCTAAAATAATATTTGATGTCAATGTGTTTCTCTTTGAGGTACATGATTTTTTTTGCAGCAATGTTTAATGACTTTGATTATCATAGTAAAGACTGACAACCTTGTTTCAATCACATCCCAAAGATAAGAAGCAGCAAAGGAAGCTAATAAATCAAATGATTTATTTTTGATATAGAGTGATCAATGCGCTTTTGCAAGGTATATCTTCAACTAATGCATTCGTCATGAAATTTAAATACATATCTAGTTCTAGATTTACTCTTGTACAAATTTTGTTCATAGTTAGCATCAACGTAGCCTAGGATTGTGATATTGTGACATTTAATTATTTAAAACATTGTTTAAAATATTACCAAACAACAAAACATAATCTCTATTAGTTTAAGTACTTAAAAATCTAATTCATTGCCTTTCAATGCACTTTTCACAGATTTATCACATACCTTTTTACCTTGTCCATATTTAAATCAATTTCAAATGCTTATTATCAAATTCATGAAGTTGATCACAACTTTGTCATGAAAAATTGATGACATCTTTTACTTCTCAATAACATACATTGAACATCAAAATGCAAAAAAATTGAAGTGTGCTATCAAATACATCTATATCTTGTAAGAGTGTGTCATGTTATATTTTTCATTTTTCATGTTGTTAATCATGTCATCATGTCAGTGTTTTTTCTACAACCAAGTATTTTTCATGTGTAGCAAAATATGCTTCGCGAAGGACTGGTCAAAATCTGCACGCGTAAAGAGTACCAATTCGCGCGCGTGTGGGAAATGTTAGGGCACGAAGCAAACACACTTGTGCCGACAACGCGACATTGAGAGAGAGATAGAGAATCTCAATCAATCGACCTTGATAGCAGGGAAGACGCGATTGGAGATATGACGCCATCCACGACAACCAAGGTGCGGAAATTGGTCCCGCTGAAGGTGCTTTACGCGGAGATGCGACCCTATCGGCAAGAGATCGTCAAATTACATCTGGATTAACTTCTATGGGATTGAAATTGCGTGTCGGCGACCATCAGCAAGGAGATGATGGATAAGAATCGTAACGAGGGGGATAATCTCTGAGGCAATCTGATGTTGTGGACAATCGACAACTTGACGAAGGTTCTAGGTCCGTGCGCAGGGAAAGATAGAGATTACATGTTCAAAAAGGATAATGTCAAGATTACGCGCGCAGAAGAATTTACCTTTTGCTCTACTCTTCAAGATGCGAGGTCGGGGACGAATGGATGGAAGACAGCAGATTACAAGGACCCAAAGAGGCGTGCGATTGCGTTAAAGGTAATGCATATTCTACGACCGCAAGGCACAACCTATGTCACCGCATGGCAGGTCGGCTTCTTTGAGCGCGCATTGAAGGGAGAACGAATTCATTGGGCGAAGATCTTCAACTACTTAATTTGGACCAATGTCATCACCCGATGGAAAGGATGTTTGATTAACCACATAACCCCCTACTTAGTGAATTTCTATCGAAAAAATGGGGTTACTCACGAAGGAGGAAGAGAAGCGATTTTCAAAAAAAAGGGAGGTATTGGCAATTGAATCAGGCCAATTGACGAAGATGACAATGTCCAACCAGAAGAGCCACCTTAAAAGACAGCACGGGAGACTGGCGAAGAGACGGAAGATGATCGACGATAGTGGAGAAGGCCGAAGACCGGAGTCGCGGGTGGCAAAGACCCAAGTGACAAGGATCAGGATGTCGAAGACCGGGGCTAGGCCGAAGAAGAAAGCGAATCGTAGGAGAGATGTGTTCGATTTCTCGGAAAGTAGTGTGGCAAAGTCGGATGCAGCTGCCTCGACAACAGACGAAGAGAAGAGGGAAAAGCCTACTCTTTGGATAGTGGAAGGAGTACCTTCGGGTGTACAAGCTGAAGTCCTGATGGAAGTAGCTGTAGAACCTTCGGAGGAAAGGACGGCGATAGTTAGTCTAAGTCTTCCACCTTTGGAGCAGACGCGATCTATGGGGAGTGATGAAGTACTACAACCAAAGACAAGTGAAGAGCTGCCTAAGGATCTCACACTTAATGAGGAGATACTCGAGCAGGTGGTTGCACAGGTTGGTGGGTTAGTGGTAGACGCCCCTGAGTTTCATTGCCCCCACCGCCTGAAGAAGAGGTAAGACCTGAAGCGGAGAAAAAGGCTACGGAGGAGGAACCAAGAGAGTTAGTTGTTTCTTTCTCCAATTTCCTGCAGTATAGTGTAACACCCCTATTGAAGTATTTAGACAGGAAGAAAAAGAAGTACGCAGTGGAGAAGTAACCAAGGTTCTATGTAGAGATAGTGAGAAATATGACTCAGATCAAGAGAGCAGTAGCGGTAAAGAGGGAATTAGAGTCTGCAACTACAATGGCGAAGGAACGAGTTGCGAGCTTGACAACCGAGTGTGCGATCATGAGGGTGACGTTGCAGGAGCGAAAGAACCATCTTCGGGTGAAGGAAATGGAGTGCAAAGTTTTTTGGCTGAACCTAGCTAAGAAGACTAATCTTTGAGTGTCAATAGAGCAGGAATGTACGAGTCTTTGGGTGGACAATGAGAATGTGCAAAAGGTAACCGTAGACTTTTGTGAGAGATTGGAGGCATTCAAGGTGGCCTATATCGCGGAACCACGTCGCGTGGATGAATTGACTGCGGCTTCTGTGATAGGCCAGTTTTTTTGTTTTTTTGGAAATAGAATAGTAGGTTGGGAAATTCAGGTCGTTTTTAACTTTTATGGCAGAAGTAATTAGATTAGAATAGAATAGGTCTGTTACGATGGAGATGAGGTAGTAGTAGTAACCTTGAGGGAACCTCAGCCGCTGCGACGGCCTTCATGAGGCCAACAAGATCCTAATCCGGAGTAACAGATCGGAAAGAAGGAAGACCTAGTTACTCTTAGTACCTAGACGGGTACTTAGGAGAGAATACGCCAGCATTTACGAATGAAGATCTCAGAGCTTCGCGATTAAATGAACGGTGAAGGACACACGTGGACGTAAAAGATAGTGCCGCACGGTAAGAATTTGAATGGCGGCACCTTCAATTCACACAATTGGGAAACCGTTGCGACGGCGGGGTATTCGCGAGGAGCCGAGAGCTCGATGCTCACATTTCACAAACACATTGTGCGATCGTCGCCGGATTGAGGCACGAAGACTAGAGCGAATGAAACTAGCGATGACACGACCGATCAAATTGCATGCTCTGCGAGTGCCCGAAGTAGTATTACGAGATTTGATCCTCACAAAGATGAATTTCCTGTTGTGGGGTTGGAATTGGACGAGCAAAGCGATAGTTCAAGAGCGGTATAATAATGGGTTGCCGAATCCACCGGGCTCTCAAGGCAATCCTGATACCTAGCAAATCTGGGACTAGAAGAAGGTCCTTGATCGGTGCGCGGATGATGATGGTGATCTTACATTTGACAACAAGAGTGTTCATGTGACGAGAGAGGAAGAAAGGGCTTATGTCACACAGTTCAAACACCCTCGCAGTTGGAAGAATGATTACCGCACAGTGTGGTATTGCGACCCAATGAGACGGAACATTGCGATGGCGTTGATGCAGATTCTTCGTCCGTCTTGACCTACTTACATGATGACTTGGCAAGTGGGGTTCGTCGAGAGAGCATTGAAAGGAGATCGTATCCATTGGGTGCGTATCTTCTGGACAGCCATCCGGCAACACATTGGGCTGATTCAGGGAGGGTCCGCCAGTTACTTGTCCCCATTCTTGATTAATTTCTACAAGGGTATTGGAATATTGACGCCTGCAGAGAGTAAAGTCTTTCCACCACGAGAAGTGTCACAGGAAGGAGAAGAGGTGGTGCTTGCTAACGAGATCAATTTGGACCTTGAGGGCGAACCGCGTGATTTGCCCCAGTAGAGGAGAAAGCGATCCAGGGGCCGGCAAGACTCACATCCGAGGAAGAAACAAAAGATCAATGAGGCCGCCGTAGCAGAAGAACGGTTACGACGGGTGGCTCATATCATGATTCGATCACCAGATTTTTAGGCCAGGTCGAAGATGAAGGCCATGAGGTTAATACTGGAAGTGTATAACAGCACTGAGAGTAGAAGAGTTGCGGCGAGAGGACGTTCCGTGCAAGAAACGGAACCAGTAGCGATTGCAGCCAGAGAGAAGGAGGTATCGATGGGGAAGAAATCTCAGACTATAGAAGAACAGCCGACACCTGTTAAGCCACAACGAGCTTCAAAGAAAGAGAAGAGGAAGGTGGTTTTGACTTAGGAAGTTCCACCGAGGCAGAATGAGGTTCCTTCGGAGGGCATCCAGATGAAGTCTACTCGAGAACGGTGCGCTGAGGTACTAACATTGTCATCGGACACTTCAGGACGAAGACTTCGGAGGAAGGGCCAAAGACATTGAAGATTACCTTCCCCGATTTCTTGCAGGATAGCATAGTACCTTTACTGAATTATATAAATACGAAAAGGTAAAAGTATATTGTGAGAAGGGAGTCCGGATCGTATGTTGAGCTGATTAGGAATAAGACGAAGCTCAAGAGAGCGGCAGCAGCGAAGAGGGAGTGGGATTCCGCGACTGCGATGACAAAGGAGCAAGTTGCAAGCTTGGCAGCCGAGTGCGCAGCGGCGAAGGCGACGTTGCAGGAGCGAGAAGACCAATTCGGGGAGAAGGAGATTGAGTGCGAAGTGCTGCAATTGAACTTAGCCAAGAAATCCGAGTGTTGTACAGAGTTGGAGGAGGTCTGCAATACTCTTCGTGTCACTTACAAGAATGCGCAGAAGGTAACAGTGGACTTGTGCGGGAGATTGGAGAAATTCAAGAAAGTGTACGAGGCGGCAGTCCAACGTGTAGAGAGGCTGATCACAACTGCTAGGAAGCGTGAGAAGATGCATGTTGAGGAGCTTGCTAAGGTTGAAGCACAAAAAGCCGAAGAAGCTCGTATCGCCGAAGAACTTCAAGGGAAGATTGCAGAGGCGAAGACGGCAGAAGAGTAACTTCGCAGTACGATTGCGGAGCTCACGAGTGAGCGTGACAGGGAATTCAAACGCGCGGAGTAGCTATCAGCGAGTCTGGCGGAGGAAATCCGGAAGCACGAAAGGGAATTGACGGATTGGACCAAGAAATTGGCAGATTGCGAGTCAGCGAGAACTTCGGCGGTCAAATGTAAACTAAAGGTTGAATCGGAACGGAGACGGTTACAAGAGCAGTTGGGGAAGGCTACCATGAGATCAGAAGAGTCGCGGAGAAGACTGGAGAAGTTAGAGGTGGCCTATCGTCATTTGCGGGATGAGACAACCGACGAGTTGAGATTGCGTGTTTAGAAGTGCATGCGCGGATTCGCAATGTGAGGATTGCAATCGGTGAAGTGGCTGAAGTTAGATTTGCTAGAGCTCCTTTTGATGAGTACTAAGATCAACGGATCCGCAGGACACAAGCAGATAATACAGTTAGTTAATTCTTTTTCTAAGGGATTGGAAGAGGCGCGATAGAATGTAGAGATAGAGATTGTAAACGTTTTGCTTAGGTTAGGAGCAGACGTAAGCTCAGACGACGTTGTAACCGCTACGTCGGACGGCATCACACTTGAGAGTAGTTCACCTAAGGCGGTTGAGAATCTAGAGCCACCATTGTGAATAAAGAGGCCCAAGTCTTTGCCTTTGGAGGGGTTTTTCTGTCAATTGGCTTGTCTTGACTGTGAACCTGTATCCACTGAGTGTATGTATGCTTGTGTGTGATCCAGACATCGAGCACAATGCGCTACTGTTTGTCAAAGTTAGCGCATCTGGAGTTGTGAGTGTCTAGCCTGAATGTTTTGAGTAGCCGGGGGCTCTTCGGGATTTAAGCAAATTCGGGTCTGGGTATTTGGGTCAGTAAGTCGGATGTATGCAATTCTGGGAAGTTTTTCCCCTGAAATCTGAGTGTGGGATCGCAGGCGATTCCCATATGTGTTGATTGGACAAATTTCAGGTTGTGAAGGTAAAAATACTCTGCTCTTCGGATCTTCGGCCATAATTGAGCAGTGTCTTCTAGGAGAGACATGAGCTCATCAATAGAATGTTAATACTTGACAAATCGTGACTTTTGCTGTTGTTTCTGTCCTCGTGGTATCGGATTTGTACCATTATGCTCCATTTTGGTATTTGTCTGTCATTACAAAAATGCAGAGTCAAGTTTGGAGAAATGCACCTCTAATGCTTCTTTCCATAAACTTAGATAAAGTATGCAGCAAAGTACATTTCTCCATTCTACAATTTAAATCGCGAATCAATGCAATAAGAAATGGAGGTGAAAAATCATGAAATACAAAAAACACATAAAAATTCAACGCAATAAGTAGTGATTTGACTCCAACTATTCCAGAAAAACACAAAAATATTAATGTTAAAAATATTGAAATAATGTTTGAGTCAACAAACTAGATATAGCCGCCCTAAGTAGTTAACATTGCACGCAAGCAAATTCTAATGTGAGTTTCATCGGCAACACAACCGACATTATAGTAGTTATACTATCATATTGAGTGAAAATAAATCTATGTAAGTTTATATTTTTATATTATTGAACTTATGAAAAAAGTAATGTTTTTTTGAAATAAACTTAATGTTCATTATAACAACAATTTTTTTGCAATGAAACCGTATATTAATTTAAAATTCAGTTTATTTATCATCAAATAAAATATATGAGAATAAAGTCATTTTCTAAAAAATATTCATTCACAACAAAAGTTATCTATATAAAATATTTATGTAGACAATTTTCTATTTTGATTTATTTTAATTGATGAATATGTAATCTTAATATTTTTGATTATATCTATTTGAATATTTTAATTTAGTACAATAACATTAACTTTTCATTCAATATTAAGAAGTTTATAATAAATTACTTTTAATTATAAATTTTTAATCAATATTATTTTAAAAATAAAATAAAAATGAAATTAAATTTTCTATATACAAAAATTTCCAAGTCATTTTGAAAATTGTGTGTAATTTTATATTAATATTTTCAATTGAAAAATGTTAAGATTTTTTTACACGCTCTTAAGATTCATGAAACATGATTACAAAAGCTACAATATAAATATTAAAAATGTATAACATAACATGAAATAAATCCATCTCAAATGTTTCATTATAGTTATTGTTAGATGCTAAGTCTATCGATTTTAGTTCAAAAAATATCATTTCATTATTAATTATGTTCTTTTTGCATATTATGATAATTTGATATATATCAATTTTTAGAAAAAATCAAATCAAATTGATAATGTATTTAATTTCAGATTCAACATCTAAAAAGAACAATTTATATTACAAAATTGACTTGTAGATGAAAAGCCTAGATACGAAAGATTGACAAGATAATCTTCTTTCCTTCATATAAATGTATATAGATTTTATTAACAGATAAAAAAAGTAAAATCTCACCGTCACCATACATTCCACTCCTCTCCTAGTGAATTATGATATAGTTGATAATTCTAACAAGCATTTGGATTGTTGATATATCAATTAATGTCTATCCCGCTCAAAAACCTTAGAATTACTCGACATAAGGATATTATGCTCTGGCTGTCAAGGCAATGTTTTCTCCAAGTCAATTTGTTTTACCGCTCCAATAGTTTTCTAAAGTGACTCTCCGTCGTTCGGATGAAGTGGTACAACGATTAATAATTACTCAATCACCCAAAAACCAAAATTCACCAAAAAACTCAGTGCCCTGATCATTCAACAACTCCCCTGGTGCACCAAATCCGAAATTTGTATACGATGAAGTTCGATGTAATAACGGACATATGTTATGATGCTACATTTATTTGTAGACACAAGTCACATGATTTTTGGGACCCATTGGACACCTTTCCACAGAGTAAGAAATGGTGACCTTTGAGCATAACCCTATGGTCGAGAACTTCACCAATTGTGAATAGACAGTACAAATACAAAGAGTACTCTGTCGTTAGTGATACATATTCCTCGTCAAACAGGCCACGGAAGAACCCTAAACCCCAACCCGAGCGCCCCCTCCTGCGTCATCCTCCAAGCCCTGACTGCAAGAGTGCACGACGATCTCGGAGCTGCAGAGCTGCACCAAGAATTTGGGACGAAGCCGTCACATTGCAGATCAAAGGTTAGTGGTGGTCCGGCACGGGAATCAGCTGCATTTCGAGGGATTGGACTCGGCAGCTATAACGGTTTAGAAGACTGTCAGTTGCAGGGTTCTAGCAATTCGTCAAGGAGTGAAGCAGATATGACAGCCATGGAGGTTGATTCGGGAACACCAGGAGGGGCTGACAAAGAGAAAAAGAAGTTGTACCTGGTTTCGCCTATCGCTCGGCCGCTTGCCGGCAAGAAGCTCACGAAGAAGTCCTTGAAGCTGATCAAGAGAGGTCGGTTGTTTTCTTAATGCGCCGCGTGTATACGTTCTGCTCCGTTGGTATTGAGCCGCGTGTGTACGTTCTGCCCCGTCGGTATTGACCCGGGAGGCACATATAAGCAAACGTCACGAATCGATACTTTCAAGGTGGAATTTGTTGAAACGTCTGAAAAGCTGTTGTTTATTGCGCAGCTGCAAAATCAAAGCAGTTGAGGCGAGGTGTGAAGGAGGTCGTGAAGGCCCTGAAGAAGGGTCAAAAAGGGTACGGGCCTGTTATCTGGTGGCACTGATATCTCACTCGTTCTCAAGAGACCTCTCTATTTATATTCCGTGTTGTGTCTCCAGACTACTGTAAGCAGTTTTCATCTGTCAGTTCACAGTAGTGCGCGAAATGACGCTCGTTCGACGTCTGTTTGCAGGCTGTGCATAATTGCTGGTGACATTTCGCCTATTGATGTTATTACCCATGTCCCAATACTATGCGAGGAAGCCGATGTTCCCTACATTTACGTGCCATCCAAGGAGGTACGAACCGAGTCTGCATATCGCTTCGTGCTCACTACTTTCTCATCTTCTGTTTCACTGTCGTTGAAAACTACCGCAAATTAGGTTCTGGAAACTCCACCGAGCTTGCACTGAGCTTGCTATGTTACATGTTAAGTCTCACCTCAAACACCGAATCTTCGTCAGGTATAACAGTGCACGATCACCAATTGCTTTTTCCCATTTTTGTCACTGAGGCCCTGTCGTTGATTCTTCACCAGGAGCTCGGTGCTGCTGGTGCTACCAAGAGGCCCACGAGTTGTACACTTGTCTTATCCGGTCCTTTGAAAGGGGACTCCTCTGAGGAGGACAAGGAGAAGTTCACCACCGAGTTCAACGAAGTGGTGGAAGAAGTCAAGGAGCTCGCGTCTTCTTTCTTTTGAGACATCTAGATGTTACATAATCAGATTTCGTCAGTCGCAGTTTCTTAGCACCACTGCTAACGCAAAGCTGGTACGGACAATGCTTCCCAGAGTTTAGGAATCCCCTGGCGTTCAGTCGGTTGTAATTTATTTCTTCCATGAATGAATGTGGATGAAGTTTGGGGTCAGTGAAATGGGATCCGAGACACAGTATAGTTTAGGTACAAGCTCGGCAGCATCCCTCTTTCAGGTTTGATCCTGTTGTCCCGTACAATTGTCCTCTTCACTGAAGTAGTAAGTGCGACTATGCAATAAAGCCTAGAACGCCTGGTGCCTCGTAAGGACGGATGTAGAGAAGACCAGCAGGGAGTAATGCACCTGCCAGTTGAGGACATTGTGAGCAGCTTAGTGGAGTACGCCTTCCTGCTGCTCTAAGGCGCATCACAAAATTTTGTAAGATCTAGCTTAGTTTAGCTGACCAGAGTTTGGTTCACCTACGAGGAGTTTCCGTAGGTTACGTAGAGGGAAAATCTATTGTGATCAGGGTAGCTCGGCCAAAGAACTCCTATGCTGCATCGTCACAAAATTCAATAGTGTCGTGGCACAGATGCCTTGAAGGTATGAGACTCGTTGTAACTACGACATAGCTTTGAAATACCATGGCTGACTGCAAGATATTCCCTCAACTTGAGTCTCGGTTTGCGACTGCTGTTATATGTTCTTATCCGCTTTGGCTTCCTACGTGTAGAAATGTTAACTTCGAACTTATCTAAACCTGTCTCTCAGTCTTCAGTCTCTTGGGCTTGAAGAGATGCAGGTGTTAGAAAACAGTGCAGGAAACCTATCGAAAATATTTATCCTGGAAAGTTCCAGTTGGTAGATACGGTTGTAGAAAGCTGTTGTCTTCAATCAAAGAGTGTTAGAGGTGGTCTTTGGACCCGAACGGTATAAATGATTCACGGTTGAGGCCACTTGTTACCAATAGCCAGCTTTTAGTGAGCTAGTCACAAAGCAACCAATAGTAACTTCTATGTAAAGTGGAAAATTGTCCATGGAAACCTAAGTGAAGGAAGTGAAGAAATGCCACAGCTAACTGTTCCCCCACTCACCCCAATGAACTAACATCAATGCATTTTAATGGAAGGACACGCAATGCATTCAATAAGGACCAGTAGTCCATTCACAATCGTCAACCCAAGAGAATGCACTTACACTCACCATATACATTGACATACTCAGGGAGATAGTCAGCATGTCTGACGCCTAGACCCTTGTTTACTCGGCAGGGATATGGCGAAAGGACGACTATTGGGAGCTTTTTTTTTGGGGTCTGGACCACTAAAGGTTGAACAGAGTTTCGTTTGATTGTGTCTGCAGAGATGGTCATCACGATTAATTATTCTGAGTTTGACTAATCTGGAATAAGTTTATGGGAGGATCTCTACATAAACTAAAACATGGCTAGACAAAGCATCAAGGAAGAGTTGAAGATTTGATCCGAAATCTATGTGAACTCTGCAGTATCAACTCAAAGTCTTGGACCTCAGAATCGCACACGATCCAGAACTTATCGTCCAAGACCGGAAGAGACCACCGTACCCAGTAGCGTACTGTTTACAAGTTCCGTCCCCACACTCTGATCGACGTGTTCGATACGAGGAGATTGGACGAGGAAAGACGTCTGTCACGTGAAGTGCATGCTCTGGTTCGTCCCTAGCTGTAGAAGATGAATGCGGAGGGAGGGGTAAGCAATGAAGCAAAACTGAAGGGAAAGCCACATTGGCAACTTTGTTGGGGAGACAAAGTAGATCCACGTCGGCCCACAAGTGTCGTCATCATCCATCCAGGTCCGAAAATCCTCCGGTGCCTCGACACTCACAATGCTCCAGACTGCACGAGTGAAATCGAACAAATTCCCAAATAAAATGTCTGCCAAAGGGTCGAAATTACTGCTTTTCTCGCTGGACATATTACGGTGGAATGAATTTCCCGAATGTCCACCAGCTGCCTGTCCACGGACCGTAGACATGACCCTCCGTATATGTTCCGACTCCGCGGCACAATGGTGGAGTATCGGCGAATGATAACATGCCACGTGGTTCGCACGAAGCCTTCACAGGAAAGGGAAGCTGACCATGGTTGTATTTTGACCCGGGGGGCAGCGGGGGTCGAGTAAGGGGCGCGGGTGCGAGGCTCCGAGCACGTTGGGGAGAGGAGCGTGCTGCTGCCCCAAGAAGGAGGCTTCTGAAGCTTTGGTGCCGGTGGTGGGTGAGGACATCGAAACCTGGAGGACGATTAGGAAGAACGTCGTGCCCGTGATCGCGTGAATCGTCGGTCTCCTCGTTTCTTCGCACTACGAATGCTGCAGCAGCAGGTCGAGAAGAGTGCAAGAACGCTTGGGTAGCGATTTGCCGATCGTCGGTCGCTTGGTCGGGTGATCTTGTCTGCGAATCAGGGCTTGTCGTCACACTGTGCTGTGAGGACTGCGTTAACGATAGCGTCAGCGGGGTCGTTGCTTGAGCGCTGCACTAGGAGCTCGTTGGAGCTCCGATCCGGATCGTGGTCATCATGATTTCGCAGTTCTTCGTGCTCTCCCTTCGAGGAGATAATATTGTTTTTCGCGACTGTAAGTTTGGATGATAATTCAGGGCTTCCTGCTCTCCGATGCTATTTTGAGTTCAGTACTGGGTTTTGCTGGTTCTCGTATTTTGCGTCGTAGTGGTGAAATGATTGTGATGAGTTGAAGCTTGGAGCTTAGGAAATTGGGGATCCGCTCCGAAGGAAATGCCGCGGCTTATTTACTGAGATCTTCACTTAGTGGGAGCTCAGATGCTGTACCAATTGATGATCATTTTAGGCTTTGCATCTGTGATCGATTGTATTTTTGAAGTGCTGAATATCGTGATTACTTGGAATTCTTGTTTCCTACATCATGTCATAGCTGATTTTTCCAACTCTTACATATGCCGCCTCTAAACGTGGAAAGTCCTCCCTCTACTGTATCTAGCGCACTGATTTGCGCAGTGGGTTACGTAGCTTGATGATAGTACCAAGTAGTGAGCGCTATATGCACACTTCATGCTTTTGGCAACATTCATGCTTCATTTGTTTCCAATTTGTTCTTTCAGTAGGTGTTTAGTTTTCGGAAGACCTGCTGAATACCACGGTGTGAATGTTTCGAGAGCAGATCGCGGAGATGTACCGAAAGGGAGTGCGGAGATATTCTTTCGGAAAGTGAAATTTTGGCAAGGCGAAGAAGGAGAGGAGGCTCCGCCTGTGTTCGTAGGTATTCGTTTATGGGCAATTTGGGATAAATTTCACCCTGTATCTTACATATTCAATTCAAACTACGTAGAAGTAAAGAGGAATAGCATCTTCGGAGTTTGAAGTCTCAATCTGGTTTATTGTATTACATTGATTTGTGTTTGAATTGTTGTTTCCATGCCAATGCAGAAGATGGATGGGGTGAATTATTTGCACGTGAAAGTTGGAGGTCTCCTGTTCGTTGCTACCACCAGAGTCAACCTTTCTCCTGCCCTTGTACTGGAGCTACTGCAACGTATAGCTCGTGTGACGAAGGATTATCTCGGGATTCTTAACGAGGATTCTCTCAGAAAGAATTTTGTTCTAGTTTATGAGCTACTTGACGAAATGATAGTAAGCACCTGATAGCTTTCTGACTTGCAAGCTTCATGAACGTTTAAATTTCATCTGAAACTCGTTCAGGATGTGTTTGAGTGGAGGTTATCCTGACTCGCGACCGGAGCTCGAATCCAAGTTAGAAAGAGATTAACAGGCGCTATTTATTTATCACTTTCAAACCAAGTGATTATTCAACTTTTAATCTGCAAGTGTTTAACCTTATTGTGCAGGATTTTGGCTATCCTCAAACCACCTCAACTGAAGCTTTGAAGTCATTTGTTTTCAACGAGCCAGTCGTCATTGACGCAGCCCGCCTTCCTTCTTTAGGACCGGCAGCCCTATTTATCGTAAGAATCTTCTCGTTGCTCTGTGTATCAAGGTCGTGATGTGTGGTTGTCTGTCCAAACTTTCGTGTTATTATTTAGGTCAGACTTGTAAACAGTGCTTCATATAAAATTCTGGTAGAATCAAGATGCATCTGAATAAATAGGATGAAGTAGCGTGTTTTTTTCATCGGTTGAATTGTCAGTTGCTCTGATGTGGCATGATGACTAGCGTCGTTCAAGGTCTAACATCTCGATCATTCGATTTGCAGCAAGGATCGAAGAGAGTGCCAGGCACATCAGTCACAAAGTCGGTGGTTGCAAACGAACCAGGAGGCAGAAAGCGTGAAGAGGTGTTTGTAGATATAATTGAGAAAATTAGTGTCACGTTTAACGCTGCTGTAAGTCCTCCCTCAACTTCTTTTCGCCTTTTCTTATATTGTATCAGCTATTCTACATTTAGGTACTTCATGGGTTAACACCTTACTACGTGGGTTGCTCTGGGTTGTTGGGCTTGAACAGGGCTACATTTTGACTTCGGAGATTGATGGAACTATTCAGATGAAAAGCTACCTTTCCGGAAACCCTGAAATACGTGTCGCATTGAACGAGGATTTGAGCATTGGACGCAACGGTGAGACAAACTTTGATAAACGGTATTAGCTAGAAGACACTCTTTGCGTGCTCGTCAGCCATCAATATTGCTGGAATAGAGTCCAGCGATTTTGTCCAAACCAGCGAATGATACACAATCTTTACACTTCTGTACCAGCTTTTTGTTGACCTCTTCGCTGAAAAGGTTTGGCAGAAAGAGTTTGGAGTGGTCAAATGAGTATGTTATTTGCCGAAAAGTTGAATATTTTATCGTGATCTTGACGGGTGTAGCATAATCGCTTTTCTTCAGAAAGCTTTTGCATTGAATTTTAACTCGTGTTGGACTTGGCCTCAGAGTATGGTGGCGGATTTGGAGGTGGTGTCGGAATGGTCATCCTAGATGATTGCAACTTCCATGAGTCAGTGCGACTGGATGATTTTGAGACAGACCATTACCTAACGCTGGTTTGGTTCTAACTCTAGTTCTGGTTTATTAGTGCATTTTATAATTGCTTCAGCTTCACGTAATGCATGTTGCAAGCTGTGGAGGTGTTGAGAGGTTTGGAACTTGACCGTAGTGCAAGGTCATCCACCCTCGTCGAGTCTCTATCCTCTAAATTAACGTATCTCACCCCGTACAGGTCCCACCGGATGGAGAGTTTCCCGTAATGAACTACCGCATGACCCAAGAGTTCAAGCCACCTTTCAAGGTCTTCCCTGTCATAGAAGAGGCTGGACCCTTCAAGGTGAGAGTAGTTCACTGTTATACGAAGTTTTGCACATCTTACTTGTTATTCTTCTATTGTTTGTCAATGCATCTACTTTGACTAATTCAAAGTTGAGATTTTATGCCAGGCGGAAATAGTATTGAAGGTCCGCGCAGATTTTCCTGCCACCGTAACTGCAAATACAGTTGTGCTTAGGGTACCCCTCCCGAAAACAACTTCAAGGTACCAGTCTTGACGTAATAACCTCCCAAGAATTGAGTTTATTGTTGCCACTTTTTAGTCTATTTATTCGGAACGTTTAGAAATTTCCTGCTCACATTTACTTTCATTCCGTGTCCCACCTGTCTCCTTTGGCTTGACTGGTCTAGTCTGTGTAAGCTATTATTGATAAGTTACCAGAATGGTGTTGCTATCTATCACACCTTAATGAACAGGTGCGATAGATTCCCTCAGCATAGCAGTTTCTGTATTACAGATTCTCAATTATCGATCATGAGATGATTGGTTTGATGTTTAGATCATTGGATCCTCTCTGTTATATACCGCTGTCTTACTTTGCGTGAGGTTCTAAAATGTTACAGTTGCGAAAGTTGGTTTCTATTGACTACTTGTTCATGTTGTGTGTTGACTAGTGATCCAAACTAAGATGACACCTAGTTTTTGGGCACATTCAGCACTTTTCCTCCTAGATTTACCTTGGGAGCAGTCTAGGCGGGATTAACGTTCAGTGGGTATATGGTTACGTCTGAATTCTTTGGTTATCTCGATCTAGCACCAGTCAGCCAGGGTCCAGCGTTTCTGGTCAGGCTTTGATGGGCACACACTGATGAGTGTACTGATCCAGTGTTTTCAATCATCTGAACAAAAGGAAACTGCCTACTTTTGTAAAGCTCGTGAGAAAGGCGAAAAGAAACATATCCGAGTGTGCACCTTGTTGAAACCGTCTAATTCTAGAAGCCACGTTGTACTGTTTTCTGGATCCTTGGAGGTTTCTGATGCTCCTCCTTTTGGCAGGGTGAGCTTTGAGATGGAACCAGGAGCTGTGGGACAATCTACAGATTTTAAGGAGGCTAATAAAACCATTGAATGGTCATGCAGAAAGGTATATGACTTTTTGTCATCATTTTGAACGGTGGATGTCAGCATTCTTTCGTTTGCCGAACTTGTAATCTGTCTGAAAGGTCTGGGAGACCATCGGTTTTCCAGAAGTCTTTCGGTGCCCGACGCTGATCGGTATGTTTAGGACAGTAAGCAGGATACGGACTATATTAGCAACGTTGTTATTTTCATCATTAATGGCACTCTGATTTGCATTCTGGCATGAACTAATACATATATGTGCGCGGACTTAAGATCGTCGGAGGTTCAGAACACACACTTCGCGCGAAGCTCACTCTTACACAAGAAAGAAATGGTAAGTAGCATATCTGTACTCTGATTGTTTAGTTTTACTTCATACATTCTCGACCACTCCAAACTTCAACAACATGAACTTGAAACATGCATGCAAAGTCGCAACATCATGCCGTATCTCCATCTTAAATGGATTTAGATCTGAAAAGCTTGTTCTGTCTGTATTTCTTCTTGCTGAATGCTTTTCCTCCTGACTCTTTTGACGTCGTCAATCTCGTTTTGGATGCAGCCAACATCAAGAAGGAAGCTGGCCCTATAAGCATGTCATTTACTATCCCTATGTTCAACGCCTCGAGACTTGCGGTATGTGCCAAGATGTCGTTGGTTGATACATTTCTTTGTTAATTTCTTTTGGTTTGTTTCTTTTACGTTGAAAAAATTTTCGTTTCTCCACGTTATTTAGTGGATGAACGAAAGTGGGACCACTCGCAGGATGTTCACGTTCACAATGGAATTGATAGTTTTTGGTATGTTTTTGTTTCAGGTTCGATACTTGCAGGTTGTAAAGAAGTCCAAATCGTACAATCCTTACCGCTGGGTCCGATACGTAACGCACTCGAATTCCTACGTGATCCGGACATAAGACTCACATCGTTATTGCAGTTTGTTAAATTTTGTAACGCTAACGAAATCTCATCTACGAGATTTTTGAACTCAACAGCATTTGTCCAGGCCAATTGATCAATCCAACCTTTTAGCTGGCGATGTGTTCATTCACCACTTGAAAGCCTTGAGTGAGTGCGATCTTGTACAGATTGTCTGGGTTGAATAACGGCTTGTGTTGGTACATGTATAAAAACGAGCCGAGTATATATGTATGTGAATGGGTTCAATCATTTGTGGTGTTTTTCGGAAGGGACGACGTGATTAAGGTTGTATTTGATGACTCAATTTCATGTTACGTTCCAGTAAGTGCAGACGTATGTTTGTCTTTCTCTCGTCCCGGATGTGTATTGAATGATGAGTTACATCAGAGCTATATCAGGAAAATAAGCTTAGGGTCTGCTGAAGCTCTGTTATTTATTGGGTTGTCAATCATTTGACTTTTTCTACAGTAGTCTGTGTATGATGTACATGTCGATTTACAGTGCTTCGTCAGGGTTGAAGTCTGAGTGGGTCAATTTCGTTGAATTGCGGCAAATAAGCGAAACAACTGTGGTGCGTTGATAGCGTGAGAAGCCTGTTCTTCCAAGGCATCGAGGCTCTTCCTTTGAGCACATAAGATGTTACTTGTCGGTAGTCTACCATCGGGGTATAGGTGAGAGTTAGACTGTTTCGGCCGCAGAAGATGAATGTCGAAGCATGCCGAAGCTGCCAGTGCACACATGTTCTGTTGCTCTTATCCTCTCTCAAGGGTTTTGTGTACGATTGAAGAACCTTGTACAAGAACATAGCCTCAGGACTTTTTGGTACATGGTCAGATATCTTAAAAGTGGCGGAAGGCGGGTGCAACTGCCTGACAGATAGGCTGGTCACGGAGAGACACATATTTCAGAGCACGGTGCGAATGTCAAGATATGACTGACTGATCCACTTTTGTCCATTGATCTCTCAGTTGAGTCCGTCAGACACACTGAAGATTCGGAGGGCCTCGGAATACAAACCGAGTTTCAGTTCAGAGCTGTCTCTGCGTCAGTAGCTTTGAACTCTAGAGATTCCAGATCAAATCTTTCTGTCGCTTCATCTCACCTTCAGCGGAGTTCATTCTCATAGAAGGCGATCAACCATTGCTTCAACACGAATTTCAATCAGACTGAGCATTAAGACTCAACTCTGGAAGGCCTCTTTGTCAGCTCCCAAGAGCTGAGCATGCGGAGTACAAAGTTTCTGTCGACCCTTGGTTTTGAGCCATTCTTAACGGTCTAGCTTGGATCCCCGCCGCGCTTGTTGCTTCGGCCGTGCTCTGCTGTTCCTTCAAGCCAGACCATCGGAGGACCTGACGACGCGAAGAGAGTGTTTCGTACCATGGCGTATTGTGGCGTATGTTGTAGAATTTCTACCGATGTTTATGGGGGCAGTAGTATCAGACTTTCCCGGTGCCTACAGGCTCAGGGAGGCGTATAAATCGGAGAACTCTCTGTCACGGCGCCGATTCGCAAGCGATGGTAAACCGGCCAGTTCATAGAAATTTAGAAAATATGATCCACCATCACGACATTGCTGACACGGGGTGGCAAAATGGACCCTACAGGCGGGGCTCCAGTTGTGCCGTTCTTGGGCCAAATTGCTCCTCCTCATGTATAACCAACGCTCTAGAGGAATTTGACTCGAAATTGCTTCCTGAAGTGACTCGAAGGAAATTTCTTTGCCTTCGCTTTGTTGTGTTGTATGTGACAATGAGGATTCATCTTGTTGCTTTGTGATGTGCCACAGGCTAGTGAATCAAAGAAAGAAGCATTTAGAAAGTATTTGGAGTCGAGTGGTGTTCTCGATGCGCTGACTAAAGGTTCTTTCCTCTCGCCTTCCTACTGTCTGTTTCTTATGCCCTCTTCGCACAAACGTGACTCTCACCATGGTTGGACACCCATACTGCGCTGGAGACACTAATTGCAGTTGTACCTCACAAGAATTTGTGTAATTTCTGTCAATCAAGCAAACGGCCATCCTTGTCCAAGACCTGCCAGCCGAAAGTTTCAGCCGTGGTCGGTTGGCTGTTCTCTAAAATCTTCCTCAAGTACCGCCCGCCTTTCTCAAGTGCCTACCTTTGAAGGTTGCAATTATGGTGGTCCGTCAGGAAATGTGCTCTGAACAGATTGCCAATGTCATTACCCTTATACTCGAGCTCTCCAAAGAGGAATAGAAACTGGGTCACAGTCGCGACCATTCTTTGAGTTGCGAGGGAATCCGACAGAACAGTTTCGTCTTCCACTGGACCTGGATAGATTTTTTGTATACAATTCGTTGCCCTTAATCCTCCCATTGAATACTCCTCCCGGACACAAATTTTTCAAATCACAGGTATAAGAACCTCGTCAAATTTCAATACCGGCACCAATTCTTTGCAAGCAAGAGGTTGTGTCGAGAATGATCAGAATCTGGCTTTCTGACCACCATGTAAGTGCCCTGCTTGAACATAATTAGAGCAATTTTAGCACCTCGATCTTTCCTCTAGCTGCTGCTGGAGTCATTTCATGTCTTCTTTATCACTCTGAAGTTCCTTCTCAAAAACGAAGCTGATAAGCTGATGAATTGCTGCAATCTTGAACAGTTAAAATCAGAAGCTCGAAAAAGACTTCAGATAATCCCAATCTTTTGATCATGTCATTGATTGTATCTGTCATTGATCAGACCATTCAAGCGTTCGTCTTCATGGTCAGTGCATCTTCGAGACACTGTTACATGTGTCTCAAACGCTAGCTTCATGACCAACAAACCAAAGCCTCGTGGGCCGAGGCACACATAAACCCAATGCAGGTCTGGGGTCCTGGGCTTTAGCACTTGGACTTTTCGTCCAGCAATTTGGCAGGGATAAGAACGTGTGCATAGCTCATGGGGCACCTCAACACTAACTCTGAACATGAATGTTAGTATGCAATTTTTTTCTCCCGAGGACCCTTTGAATGCACCACCAAGAAGAATGTCCAGATGTGAGAGTCCATGCAATTAAAGACCGAATCTAGTGGAGAAGGAAAAGAACTCAATCGTGATTGATCGCCTTGTTGTCAAAGAACTGATAACTGATTGTAGCCTGATGATTGACGGTTTGTTCAATCGAATTTATTCACCAGTTACACGGCTAGCTCAGCATTAGAGAGAGAAGGAGCAGACAGAAAATCAGCGGAAATGGAGCCACTTAAACCTAAGGACAGCACGGGAAATTCCAGGATCCAGGAAAAAATTGCCACAGCTTTGAAAATGTAAGAGAAAACGACGAGCATATCCACAATCAATTTCCTCTGGACTGCACGAGTACTGTCAATGCATAACAAGTCTAGAAACTCTGCTAGAAACCTACAGCTTGTGATGCCTTAGAGTGCCCGACTCTTCTCAGTCTCGCACATCACTGGAAGTCACGGGTCAGTCAATCATACTTTCGAAAAGCGCAGCAAAGAAGATGTTGTGTCCAAGAAACCTTGTCTTGCGTGTTCCTCGTTATCTATTTGGGAAGGCCAGCCTCTAAAAGCAACCATGTTTGTGGGTTGCGTGCAATCGGCCCCGCATTACAATCCAACTTCTAGATCCTCGGTTTACTACCCGTCTACAAGTGGAGATCGACGTCTCTGCCATAGCTCGTAGGCGGGCGATAGGGTGCCATTTTGAACCTTTAGTAAGCGGTCTTCCACGTCCTGGTGGACTTGCCAAGTTTTCTTCTTCTACTTTTCTTGGAAGACTTGAGGAGGGCGAGACCAGTAATGAGGTCTTTGGTTGAGTCGAGGTCGTCTCCACAGCAGCGCGGGACTGAAGCTTTTTTCGTTCTAACACCTTTGGAGATGGCAGAATTTGATGGTTGTCTTTGGCTCTGGGAACACAAATTGGGCGGACCTCGGTCTCTCTCTCTCTCTCTCTCTCTGTGTCTGCATGTGTCTGTCTGTGTGCACAGAAAGTCCTAGCTTTCTTGCGTCCTGGTCCGGTTCCTGCATGATTGGGAGTTAAGTTGGTTGGGTTCGATCTAGGCATCAGAAATCCGAATGGTGTCCTTTGGTGCAACCACTTTACATTACTGCTGGCTGGCTGCAGTTGCGAATTATAGAGACCGGGGCTAGAAGGGTCACAAATTGATTCTGCATCAGTCATCTCATGTGCCTTACGTCCTTTCTTGCAACCGCTGTACTGGCTAGGCTCAGCAGTACGAGGCTACATCACCCATCTCTCTCCCAGGTCACTCGTACATTCATTCTTCATGTCTGTCTGGCAGCTACCGCCCTCAACTACTTCTACTGCTTGACAAGTATATGCGCCCACTTGTCCAAGAAAGGGAAAGCGGTCGTATTAAAGCTAGCATCATCACCCTTGACCTTCCATGATTACTCCAGAGCCCGTCGAATGAGCTTCATTTATTTACACTTCCGCTTGATTGCCCTCTTGTACAACAGAACGACAGATCTGCTATCTATCCTGGTGTTGCTCTTGAGTGCGGGCCTCGATGAAAAGACCCTGTATAGGCTAGTGTACATGATTGGTAAGACTTTAGTGGTGAATGCATTGAAGCATTCGAGATGATCATGATCATGAGATTCTTGAAGAAATGCCCGTTTGGCCCGAGGCCCCAAGCACGCCCAAAGTTATCCATCCATCCTTCTCTTGGCGGCACGGGGATGGATGCTCACCACGCACGCCCGTCGAGAATGCCACCTGGTTTCGCGCATACGCATGCCCTCCGCCGCTGCTGGAGTGCTCGATTGCAAATGGCTCCACCCGAGTTCTAGAATTTAATCATGTACGAGGCCCGGTGATGATGATGGTGATGCACAACTGGGCCGGTGAAATCTCAGATGCAATCCGTGGGTGGAGATGGGGTCGATCTCCTCATCTCCACCGACAATCACTCGAGATTTTACGATATTTACATGTTAAGGAAAGATTGAGGAGGGTTGGGTTGACAGGGGAGATGGGTATCACATGCACATGTTCTTTCTCCTCCTCGGATGATGCCAAAGCTGCAAAGCTCATCAGATATACATGAGCCTAGATTCCCTTCGATTTCCATCGCAGAGAAGTCAATCGGCACCGTCTTCCAGTAGAAAGCCTGACATTTCCTGTAAGGTTTTCGATCGCGCGTGTAACGAAACCGAGTGCAAGAGCAGCGTGCTCGACGGTGAAGTTGTCTCGACCTCGAGAATTCTAAAGGCGCTAGGTTTTGAGCTTGCTTTTGCACTCCTGAACGGTAGTACAAAAGATGACAGTTGGTTCTTCACGCGGAGTGGACTCGAATTTGGATAAATTTGAGCGGTATCACAGAAGTGCACATGAATCAGCTCACGAGGAATTAATGACTGCACAGAAGGCATGGATATTTGACTCTGTCGTGTGACTTACCGGAAGCTGACAAAAACATTACCATCTTGCTCCAGTGCTGGTCGCTTTGTACGAGGAGCATGACAAGCCACCGATAGCCATTGAGTAAGTACAGACATACCCATGTTAAGGCATGCTTCTGCTTTCATTGCTCGTCCACAGTGTGCAGGAGATGCAAATGCCCGGCAGAATTTGTACAATTTGGCATTTGACCATAAACGCGCAGTGTGTACTTGCGGTCTAGCGATGGTAGGGTGCCACTGACGATGCAGCGAGGCAGTTCGAGCGTAGGGAGAAGCGGCCAGAGCATTTTCATCGTCAAAGTCTTGAGGCCTGGGCTCCCGTGTCGGGTTATGAGAGATCGGGGGAGTGGTGGTCCATCACTCGACCGCCTATTTCTGGAAGTAAAGTAGGGCAAAAGTAGGTAGTGTCTGAAGCTTTTGGAATGGAAGAAAGGTGCTAGGAGTGAGTGCTTACGCGATTGCCCAGGGTTTACGAGTCCCATGTCTTTCTGGTTGCTGTACGAATACTGATGCAAAGGACATATGGTGATGGGTGCAGGTTTGTTCGAAAAGCGCTGGGTGGTCCCACCGTCGCAGAGTTCGAGCAACTGACCAATGAAAAGAACGAGATTGTGGCCAAATTTGATGCATTATGCGTAGAACACGAAGAAGCTTGTAGAAAGGTGCTTTTTCTGTCCTCAGTTGTCGTATACAGTTCTCGCTCGGCAATCATGTTTAATTTGGGTGCGCTTGCTTTATATATCTGCAGCACGCAGCCCTTGGGCCCTTTCTGCTGCGCGCTCTTTTCCTTGCTTCCTAGTTCCTGTACTTGCGGCTTTTGATGAGGATGAGAAAGAGAGGGATAGAAGTGGTGATCTTTCCTGCTTCTGGAGCTGTTCACATTGAGATTTATTCGAATCACAGCCCGCAGCGGCTGCTGCTTCTCGAAGTCCTCCAGGTCTGAGCCTTGGGATGGGGAGACGGCTGCCGCTCTCATGAACTGACGGCCTCGTCCGGCTGGGCTCGAAAGCCCCGGCGTCAGCCGAAGGAGGCCAATTGGAACACTCCATGGGTAGAAAGCAGTTGGAAAGTTGCACGAGCATTTTCTCTGTAACCGCTCCCGGTGAACAACCGGTTGTCCTGCTAGTCGCAAACGAACCACTTTATAGAATTGGCAACCTTTTCAATTCTGTGACCCTCTCTGGAGTAGAAATCTGCTGCTCCGGTTCTTACTCTTGCTTTCTTCCTCCTCTCCCTCCCTCCGTCTCTCCTTGGATAATGGCTCCGAGCAGCGCGCTGTGGGGCGCTCTGCTCCACGCCAAAGATTAATTGTGAGAAGCCAATGAGTGGATAACCAATGGTAGCTCCCGGTGTGGATCAACTCCAACATCTACCATTGTTTAATCAAAGAATAGAATGTCATGATGTGAGGCTAGATCCGCTGCAACGCACTGTGGTACTTTTTATCATGACGTTCACTATCCTACTTGTCCCCTCGGGGTACGCATGAATCCGTAGCCCAATGCTCTTCTCCAGATTAAGCCCGTTAAACATCATGACCTCCACTCTGCATTCTCTCTCTCTCTCTCTCTCTCTCTCTCTCTCTCTCTCTCTTCCCACCCACACATACATATTCTTTGATTGATTGCAGAACTTGGAGGTTTGAGGACTAGACTTGGAAAAAGACAGAAGTGCTCATTTGTTGCTGTTGTGGTCATATGCAGCTGAATGAGCTTCTGCCTCCACCGCCACCAGAAGAGATGCTGGAGCGGGCTGGAGAGGGTGGTCCGGAAGGAGGGAGCCCTCCTGGGGCAGAGTCGACATCTCCTCCCACACCGGCGCCGCCAGCTCCACCAGCGAAGACATCAGGTGCGGCGCCACCAGCAAATACTAAAACACCAGCAGCTGCACCAGCAAAGTCGGAAAAAACTGCACCAGCGAAGTCGGCAAAGACTTAAAAATCTATTGCGCTGGTGGCACGAGAGAGAGTTCGCGTAAGCTACGCTCAGTCTTCGAAGGATGTGAAATCATTTCCTGGTCCCTCACATCCATCCGGTTGAGCAGTAATGGCCACTTGCCTTGGAAGGGCTTTCTTTTCTCCTCTTCCATGTCTCTATCTTTCCACCATTAGCGCATAAACTGGGAAGGAGGTTGACAACAATCAAGGCGCACCCTCACGAATTAATTTCTCCGACCACGCTTTCCTCTTATTTTATTCCCCATGTCACTGTACAATATCTCGATTTCCAAACACAATTCCTCGTTCAGAGCACCTCCAGACTCTCCAGCCTTCTCGAGCCGGAAAAGGATCCGGCTTCATCCACTCGGATATAATTGCTGTCTTGAGTCTCTGTGGACCGGAATGGTCAATTCATCCGTTCATGCTTTCTCCCATACTCTCGTTCCCCATGGTTCCTGGACATGCTCCTCGGTCTTGCACTTGCTCAGGTCATGTTACGTAAGATCGAGCTACCCAGCCAGCAGCCAGACTGTATGCTGACGGACGAGCCGTCAGTCTGTGAGAGAGAGAGGGAGTGTGTGAATGAGACTCCTTGTCACCACCTCTTGTGCTGCCGTACTGTTTGTGGCTGAGAGCTTGGGCTTGAGGCAGTGAATGAGGGAGGGGAGGGGGGCAAGGCTGCAGGAATTTAGAAGAGTCAGTTACTCGTAGTTTACTGGTGAGATTCCTGCTGCTTGATTGTGTGAAGCAGAGCTGTACCGGTTCACTGGGTACGCATTTGGCGAGTGTGTGCAACCGGCAGGCAAGCTCCACTTTGATCTTCCTTCACCTTTTGCCGTGAGGTCAAGCCGCAAACCGATGCCCCGCAAACCGCCCATGCGCATCCCCATCCCCGGATGAAATGAGCCGAAATGCAAACCTCGAAGATTCGCAAGCAGGCATGCAGAGCAGGTACTTTAGCCTCTCTGAGATACAGTGGACCCAAATCCGTCTCATCTGATTCTGAAGTGGTCAGTCAGTCGGTAGCCACGGGAGTGTTGCTTCTTAGCTAATATTTCTCCCACCATCCGCACACGCCTTCGTGCTATAGATTCTAACAGAAAGCTGCACGTCGTCGTGCGAGGCGAGGCCACGGGAGACGACTCTAATATCTCACTTACTGCCCAAACGTAGACTCGGAAGCATAAGCTTCATCCAGTGTGCAGCAGTTTTGTACTCATTCTATAATCAGTCGGTCGTCCAGTCGCAGCATTGTTGTCCCGTCAACTCCTCTTCATTGAATAAAGGAATCAATCACATTGCGCCAGATTCGGATTCGGATTCGGCGATGCTACATTTCCCGAGATGCAGACCTTTACTGCCGGCGCCAAGCCCATCCGTCTACTTCATTGCCACTTTCTCTGCTTGTTATGTGTATGGACTACCTTCTCCTCAGGAAACATTCTCGTCATTGTAGCAAAGTCGAAAAGCTCGGAGCGGGGCATGCACACGAAACTCGACCACCGCCATCATGGAATTTCGTGCTTCCATCCGCTGGAGACTCAGAGAGCATAAAGCGAGCAAAGGGAGTGTGCTTCGTTGCCATTTCGCAGCAGCAGCAGGAGCAGAACAAATGTCGTCATCATGCATGGACGCTCCTGTCCGAGAGACTGACAGCGAAATCGAACCAACGGAACCGAAGAATGATTCGAGCCATCGATGGTGGTTGGCATGGAATGGAATCCCATGAGGAAGGTCGAGGACGAGGAACTTTAGCATCGATGCGACCACAACCCCCTCTCTCCACACACCCACCTGGCAAAAGTATTCAGCCGAGACTGAGCCTCAGATCTGTCGTCGAGGCGAGCAATCAATCCGAAGAGATCGATACGACCAAGGTTTGAATAGTCACAAAAAGTGAACTCATGATTGACTGCCTGTCCGTTCACGCTCTGCCTGCTCTAGAACCTTCACATCCATCCCGCGATCGTTCGTTCTTCACTCACCTCCTCAGGCGAATTGACCCATCGACCCATCGATCGGTCAGGCACAGAACACCTTCTCGTGACATGTCAAGCAGAGAAGAACATATCCCCTTCTGGAGCCTAGACCATGAGGAGGAGGAGGAACACAAGGCCAGGCTTGGAGGGTACTACAGTGCAGTACAGTGATAGCGGAGACGACTTTTGGCACGCCATGAGTCCATGACTGTTTGCGTGCCCTGTTCAGCCTCCAGGCTCCATCTCCAAAATCTCCCAAAATCGCCATTCCACCAAGAGAGAGAGAGAGAGGGAAGAGAGAAGAGCTACAGTCGAGTGAATGATTGACGCAATCGTTTCCCGGAGCATTACGACTTGTTTTGATCACTCTTGCAGCCGTCATAATCAGCTCGTTATGATTGATGGCAAATTAGAATGAGCTGTGATCATAGGAGAATGAGTGATCGGTAGGCTCTCATGCCTTGTGCATGAGGCTGGCTGGCGTTGCCCACAATCATGCTGTGGAGTTTGAACCACGGTACCATCTCACCTCACCCGAGTCACAACAAGAGGGATACGGCGACGTAAAGTCCTGCTCTGTTCACAAGACCCTTCCAACTCTTCTCTGTAAAATCACGAACGATGCTTCGGGACTCAATTGGTACACCTCGCATGACATCATGACCCTCTCCACCTCCGATTCCGCTTCCCTCTCCCTCTCAATAAAATCGGCACAAACTTTCAGACCTTGACTTGTGGCCTTGCCAAGGCCAAGGGGAATCTAGGTACACCAGGCAATACTAAGCTCTCTCTGGGGAGCACAAAGATTGGCACTTGATCCATCAATATCCATAGCCACTATCCACCATTCAAGAAGGCCTGACGCTAGACATGGGGGCTGGCTTTGTGTGAGTGTTGGGGGAGGGATGGAGGGAGGGAGAGGGAGGCAAGTACAACTTTATTCTCTTTGGAGGGCCTCCCAAGTCATCATTGTGCACTCTAAGGGAATATTTCTGGAGCTGTATGGAGGGAGCATTGGGGTAGTGATGTAAATTGAGTGAGGTTTCCTATTATTTGATCTCGACAATGATATCTGCCTTTTGCAAACCCAAAAGCTTCGGAGTTCCTTTTATGATTGAGTTGCATTTAGTAGGTTCTGATTCCTCCAAGCAACATCTCATCACCGTAGGAAAATACACTTAGTGAGCATGATTAGGTGGCGGGGTTGGTGTGGTCAAAGACCTCACGCATCATTCTCGTCTGCAGCCCAGTCCACTGGACTAGCTAATCAATTGAGTACTCGACGGATCATTAGCGCACATAATTATATTACCCATGCTAACATGCCGATCGGAATGGTTGTTTATTCCTTGTTGGATGTTGCATCTTCATGTTGTCTCGAACTCCCTTTCCATACATTTGCCCAACAAATCATCTTCTTACCCAAAGTCATACCAATGCACGCTTTATTTCCTTATGATGCCCTTTCGATGGAAGCGGAACAAATCCAATGTTTTTGAGAAATCCCGAGTAATAAAGCTTTGGAACACCCAATTTTTTTTCGAGTCTGACCTCTAGAGCCTTTTTGGATGTAGTGTTGGAAATGCACTTTGAATTTGAAAAATACCAGAATTATGTTCCGAGGAATCAGGAATCAAAGATTTTGTAACGGGGTAATAATCCGGAGACCTTTTTCAGTCTGTGAAAGCATTGATTGGAGGAAGTGAGAAGCGGGTACCACGAATATTCCCAACTGTCATTACTTAATGACGAGAATACAAATTGTGTATGAGGTATTTTAATCAAGTCTCAAGTTCAGTCATTCATTTCCCTTCTCATGTTCAAAGGACTACTAGAAAATATAAGTGCATACATTATTACAACCACATGGGAATGCATAAATTTGTAGAATTCATAACGATCTTATTTGCATGAGATATAAGTATGTAAAAATGAGGTTGAAGTGTATCAACTGAATAATACAAGCATATGCAATATGAAGATAATGTCCCTACATGGTGGTATAATTTTAAAAAAATACTAATATATTGGATGTGAATGAGTGAAACTTCGTTCACATCCAAGGAAAAAGAAAAAATTGGAAAAAATTTATGATATTCACCGTTAGTGGGAGTTTGGCCGCTTACACAAAGGTTGGCACATATGAGAAGATTGAATCAAGTGTCTGGAAAACGAAGAGTAATCATGTGTATTTAAATTATCCACACTACCAAAGTCTTCAAGAGTAGATTATGCACATATCAGTCAAGTCTTCAATCCTCTAGCCTAGAAGTTATATGGAAATGTGACACGTTTTTGGAGTAGAGAGTGTGTGTTAAATTAACATATAATTTGATATGAACTTAGAATGGTTCCCATTATTTTTAAAAAAATTATATGTAGGTTACTCTTAAATCTAAACCATCTGATCCGCAAGAACAAATTCAGGTCATTTGATGATTTTCTATATATCATGGAATATAAATCAACATAATATATTTTATAACATAATCAGTTGTATGAGATGTAATAATACAAATATTTTATTGTGAGAATTTCGGAACCAGATAAAGCTTTTTCCCGTTTAACTTCATGCTTATAGGACTTGACGGAATCTGTGATGGCATCAAACTCAAGCCAGTGCAATTATCCTTCAATTCTTAGGAGAGCATCGCATCTAACAGCCCACGCCATGCGCACCTGCTCTACGTAAATGTTTTCCCACATTTTTTTGAAATGCAACTTCGCGAAAGCAACGAACGAACAAACTTCGCATTTTCTTTTTCTTTTTCTCTTTCCCGATCTCATGGCGAAAGCACGACTCAGATGAGGAGGGAGGGACGGAGGGAGGGGTACGAGCGCGGCTTGTCAGATCCATTTGCACCTGAGGAGCTTAAACGTTGACAGATTCTGACCGGGAAGGCCAAGTTTAATTAAGGGCTCGCGGGCACACCTACCACGAAATGACTCAAATTAGCCGGTCAGCCGATCGCGAACGAAGAGCATCTTTCTTAATCCCGGTCCGAGCCGTGATGGGTCCAATCGGATGAGCGCCAAGACCGCGCCGGACCGGGCTGGACCGCACCTCCACCTGGCAGTTCTCCATGCGCCCATCCCACGCAGCGCGAACGATTTCCTCCTCTGGACCCTACGACTGCGATGCGGACCTACGAGGTGATGCGGCCGAGGCCGACCGTCCTTTGGAGTTTCGGAAAGCGAAGCTGCGCGAGATAAGAACCGTCGACGGACGGCCCCGATGCGGTGGAGCCAGCTGGACCGGCTTCTGCAGCGATCCCGCCCGTTCAGCCAAAGACGGTCTCGAACGGCCAATCGATGGAGAAAGAGTGGTGGGAAATGGTGGCCTATAATCTAAATTGTATTAATCTGTTGGTGCTCGAAAAGAATATTATGGCCTGATGCAAGTCAAAGATTATTCGACCGATCGAGAAAACCTTCTCCAACAACCTTAGGCGATATATATGTATGTATGTCCATCGAGCAAGACATGGTTTCTGTTGGACACCACGTAGGATCGGATGTTTTTCTAGCACAATAAAGGTGGTAACGACATGAAGACACCTGAATGAAGGAAAATCATTGTGTCTATTATTATAAGGCCAGTGGCGCTCTTCTATCGCCCGAGACAAAGTCGCGGGAAGCCATAATTTTATAAATATAAAACGCGATAAAAAGGGGATGTGGAGCAGTGCACAAGGCCTGTAAAGAGGACTTGGAGACTTGGGCCAAAACTCCCTTCCTCATCTTGATACGCATGAAATCTTTGCATATTTAGGCGGACGCACAATGTTGAGCGAGATCCTAAGATCAGGTCTTTCAAAACAAAATTCACAAAAAAGCAACGAAGTTCCATATTTAAGCTATTTTCTCCCTTAATGAATATGTTTGAAGTATTCGAACTTAGTAAAAAATCTAAAGCTGTATATTTTTTATGATTCTCATTGTTAGAAAAAACAATTTAATAAAGTCATGTGGTAAAAAAATGTATTGATCAAGATACATATTTTCATTCTGAAGTCGCCTTAAAATTATACATAAATCTATCCTTTTAGATTATAGTTGAAAAAAAACGCTCTCGCGATCACAAGATATAACAATATCTCTAGACAGGTAGATTTGTCGATCCAAGATTATAGATATTATATTAATCCTGACATGATTTTACACTGCACTGTACAA